TCACTTTCCAAATGCTGGAATGCTCTAATCTTCTGTTTAGCATTTTTCTGTCCTAGTATTAAACTATCTGAAATACTAACTAGGAGATTGCTTGGTGAGTATGGATGAGAATAAAGGAAAGAAACAGAACGCTGTGGCAGCCAGGGATATTAGTTGCAAGCAACAGAAACAGACTTTGGCTGATTTAAGAAAAAAAGAAGGAGAAGGAGGAGGAGGAGAAAGGGGAGAGGGCAGGGGCAGGAGGAGGAGGGAGAAGAGGAGGAGGAGAAGGAGAAGAAGAAGTTTATGAGAAGATATTAGGTAGCTCACAGAATCACTAGGAAGCCAGGAGAAGCAAGCTGAAGTGGGTTGCACAAAGGGAGACTCTGAAGCCAAAATCATGGGTAAAAATCATAGCTCAGAGCAGTTTGGTAAAAGGCATTGTGGCCATCTCTGCCACTGCAGGTGGCCTGGACACTGGTCTTTGCAGTGGCTCTGAAGCCACTGCTGCCTAGCAGGAAGTGGGAAGCTGCTACCACTGATACAAAGAATGTCCCCATTTTTTGTGACACTAGTTCCAAATTCAAAACCCCTTGTGGAAATGGCCAAGCCTAAGACATGTTCATGTGGTAGCTGGCAGAATTGCGGAGACAAAAGCATTTTCAGCTTCTAATCTTCTGGGTGTCATCCATTCTTGCTTTAGGGGTGACGTGGAGTTCATAATTAAGCCAAAATGTCTCTCCCATTGTGTGTTGATTCAGTTAGTCTCAGCCTCAGAATCATTGCTGTTAAGCAAAGGACTCAACAAACACCATGAGGCTCCCACAAGCATAGGTGCACCTCACGGGCACAGGGTCAGCGGATGCCATCCCAGAGAGGTATGCTTTGTCTAGGAGAAATGGGACACATCACGGGTCCAGGAGAGGGGCCCTTCCCGACTGCCACTATACCTCTTTATAGGCAAATAAGTCAAGAGAGGGGCTTTGCAACTCAGGTGCATGAGGAAATGATTTGAGCTTGGGCACCACCAGCTGCCCAGGGCAGTTGCACATCTACTCCTATCTCCTGGAATCCTTGTGGGACGTTGAGAGCATATGCAGCCTCTCTCATTGCTTGCCCGTTTTCAGCTAGCAGAAAATCCTCTCTCCACAGCTGCATATAAACAACATTACCCAGTTGGGCTCAGAATCTTTGCATTTCCACAAGCTGATTTTGTCAATATGCCCAAAGATAACCAGTTTCTCATGCTAAGAAACTCACACTGATATTGGAACCAGAGTCCTAATTTATTGATTGCAATGAGAAATATACCTGGGAGGAATGCCAGAATAGAATCCAGTTGGCTGGTTGTCTCCCCTTTTAGAAAAAGAAGGTCTAGTTTATAAAAACAAAAAAAGTTGTTTGGGGAGTAGACAAATAGCTTGGGCTGGTATGGTGGCTTCATGGATGTTAGGGACCAAGGCTTTTATCGTTCTGTTCCACCATCTCAGTGTGTGGCTTTCATCTTCACAGTTATCTCATAGTCCAAGATGGCTGCTGGAGCTTCAGCCATCACATCTGTGTTACAGGAAGAAAGAGAGAAAAGGCAAAAGGGCAAAAAAGAGTCTCCTTTCAGATGTATCAGATTTCATTAAGCAGCCTTCCTCCAAGTCTCCCACAACACTACTGCTTACATCTTGTGGGCCAGAAATTAGTCATCTAGCTAAACCTTGTTGCAAAGAAGGCTGAGAAATATAGTCTTTTCCTCCATCTGTAACTGTGCACAGCTAAAAATCCACATTCCATTACTAAGAAGAAAGGGGACAATGGATGTAGTGGTAAGCAAATAGCAATTTCTTGACATATCTACCTTGTATGGTTATTAGGAAGATCAGTAAAATAGGTAAAGCACTGACATCGTCCAATAAATTGATCATAACCAAATGTATTGACTGCCAAAAGTTTCTGCCAGTTGATATACTTGATTTTGTTTACGTTTGACTATCATATCCCTTCAGTTACATTGATACCAACACCCTCATGTAGTAACTAAAAATACAATAAGAATAATAGCTATTCGTTGAATGCCTTTTAGGTGTTGGCATCTTAACGGCACTTAGTGGCATATATGTATTATTTCAATTAAATTTCACAATCGCTCCTTAGGTAAGTATAAGCACCTCAGTTTTATAGAGGAAGAAACTGAGGTTTCAGTAACCAGCCAAAGGTCATATAAAAGTAGTAGTCTAAGAATCAAACCCTAAATTTGTCTCTACCTGATGTTGTAATGCCTCCCAACATAATTAAGGAGAACAAATTGTAAGCAAAAAGAATCTATAATACTATCATCTGGAGAATATATACTCCATTTTACATATTGCTTGTATGTATATAGTGATTTGATACATAGTTGCAATTAAGTGTTCATATCACTTTGCCCTCTGCTGTTTTCACTTTATGAAATATCATAAACACTTTCCATGTTTTGAGTGTTCCCAATTATTTTATCTTTTTGAAGTCATTCATTAAACCTCTTCTCTGACATAGACATTTAGGTCCCAACTTTTTGCTAATGGAAAATGGCAGCCATTAATGTCTTTGCACTTTTTTCGTTTCTATTGAGTTATTTCCTATTAACTTTTGCCTGTGGAAATAACAGCTTGAAAGATAAAAGCATGCTTATGGTACTTGTTACATATTACAATATTATTTTCCAAAAGGTTGTACCAATTTACACTGCCACTGGCAAAAATGAGTGGTTCCTCAACACTACAAGCTTACCAGCAATGGATAGAGTTTATATAGAGAGATATAAATAAAAAGATAGAATATGGTGGAAAATAGTATCTCAAGTTAGCCTCAATTTATTTTTCTTTGTTTGTAGTAATAATAAGCGAAAAAAACAAATCTTCAGTTTGCAAGACCAGTGCAAAACTGGTCCTGCGTTGGATAGGAGAGAGCAAGTTTAAGACAAATTGTGATTTTTTTGCATGATTAGATAACAGAGGTAGAGTTACAGTGAAGTTAATGAAACTTAAGTTTCAGAGCCTCTCGTTTGCAAATGGGCCACTTCCAAGGCCCTGGGAGATGCTCTAGCAATGGTCTTATGTTTTTGTGAAAATTTGCAAAGGTAAGATATTTTAACTGCAATCTGTTATGACTACTTTCTACTTGGTGGTTTGTTGGCAAACCGTCTCTTTCAAAAAAAAAAAAAAAAAAGGCCTGATTTCTGATTTGCTGCATTTGCTAATTTCCATGGTGTAAATACTTCCTCCATGGCTGATTTCAAGCTACCAATAGTTTAACAAGCATATTATAAAATTCCTAAATATGTAACAATCCGCTCTTGAGAACCACCATTTGTCCCTCTGATACACTTCCCTTCCTACCTGGTGGTGGTGGTGGAGTGGGCACAGTGATCTTGGCATTCTACTATGGGAAAGTTGAGTTGGTATTGCAGTGAGTTTTGACGTAGTGGCATCTATTTATGTGGGTTGAAGGCATGTTCGTATACACTTAAGTTATTGATAGACCTCTTGGTGTAGAAATAGCTTCCAGGAATATTCCTACCCTACTGTGCTGACTTGGAGTTGTGACCTGAATGTGCAAGGCCAGAAGTCGTATCATGATATGAAAGTGTCCTACAGGTCCTGGCCCCTGAAGTATGTGGGTAGTGAAAGAGAAACAAGATTTGAAATGCTTAGAGGTCTAAGCTGGCATATAGAAAATGATCAGATGTGTGAAATTGTAAGGGAAGGATTTGGTTCTTATTGATGCCTAGCCAAAATGCTTCTCTCATATTAGGAATAAACTTGATAATACAACTATAGAAGTTCCAACAATTTTTTAAAGGGAAGTGTAGACATAAATCTCTACTAGTACTTTAAAGAGTGAGTGTAACTAAGTGTGAATTACTATGTTATGTATCACAACATATGCATTGTATTTTACCATATTAAATAATGAGTTATGAAGCTGAAAGAAAATTTTCTAAACAATCAGAAATTAAGAAACAAACATTGATCAACCATGCTAGAGGCTGATCAATAAATTATTGATCAACTGATACTTGATAATTATCTTTATATCCTGAGATATAAAGGATATATCTCTGAATTATTTCTTTAGAGAAAATGATATTACAAAATTGTCACATGAGGAAGGCATAAACAAGTATTGGGCAAAAAACATAGGAAAATATATTACAACCGTGTGACAGGTATTACTTCATAAAAATGTTACACCTATTTGGAAAAAGATAAAATGAGATGCATACATTGCATGCATTATACCATACACAAGAATCTAATGCCCTTTTTGTCTTTCATAACATTGACATTTTGGAGGAATCCAGGCCAGATGTTTTATAGATTGTCCTACGCTTTGAATACATCTGATTGTTTCTTCATGGTTAGATTCAGTTCAGGTTAAACATTTTTTGCAAGAAGACTATATAGGTGATGTTGTTGCTTTTCCCAAGTGCATCACATGAGGAGGCATATGATTGCCCCTTATTGGTGTTGCTACTTTTGGTCATTTGGTTAAGATGGGGCATATACCTTTAAGTGTTGGCATATATAGAAATAAATCACACAGCTACTGTATTCACACTCTGAGAAGCAAAGTATCAGGCAAGACCTAGAGTGCGCAGCAGGAGGCAGTCGCTTTCCCAGGCTCGCGGGAAACCGGTCTAACCACGCCCACCCTACTGCCCGCCCGCGTCTCTTTTCCCATAAAATCACCTCTCTGAACCAGAGAGCCCCTACTCCAAGGCGCCCAAATCTTTTCCCATCGGCATGGACGCGCCTGCGCAGCGAGTCTCCAGGCGGCTCCTCTCCAGCGCCCGACCGCTTCTTTTTCTTGCTCTCTTCGGCCTCCCCTTCTTTTCCCTAAGGGGTCATCACAGGGCGCCAAACGCGCGCGCCCGCGGGAAGGCTGGGGGCGGGGTGAGGCGCAGCGCGGCACGTCAGTGGCCTTCTGGACGGAAGTCCGCAGCCGCCGGAGCCGCTGATTGGCTTTCGAGCTGGCGCCTGTCTCGGCCCCCGCGCCAGTTTCGGGCTGGTTGGCGCGGAATCGAGAGTCTCCGGGACCATGGCGCCCGTACACGGCGAGGACTGTGAGCTGGGGGCGAGCGGGGAGGGACACCCCGCGCGTGGGGTCCCGGGTTGGGAGTGCGGGGACCGTGGAATGACTGCGGGTGGTGGGGGCTCTGAGGGGGTCTCTGTTTTATTTTGTGTTAAGGAGGCGTGCGCCCGGGTCGCCCCGCGGGGCTATTGGGCGCGGACGTCGGTTGTCCTGGGCTGGGACCCATCTGCGTTGGACGAGGCTTCCTTGCAGGAGTCTTTGCTTCTGGCAAACCCGAGCAACCCCCCTGCGGGGCTTTTTGTTTGGGAGGCTGCCTCACCTCTATCACTGCAGGTCTCCGCACTAGCCTGCTTTTCTTTTTATTTCTTTTCGTGAGTCCCATGTGCTGGGCACAGCTTTATCGAGACTGGCCCCGGTGGGACACAGTCTTGGCCGAAAGTATGTCACTACTCCCGCCCCAAGTGTCCGCTTAAGGGCTAGGACAGAACGGATGTGCGCCCTCTCCTTTATAGAAACTCCCAGGAAAATTCTTATACATTGTAACTAAGCAGGAAAGAGAGCCCTAAGTGCTGTCACTAGAAGATCAAAATGCATTTTGTCTTTTTAGGTAATGGGTTTCTACTTTATGCGTTAACAATTTTTCTTTCAAAATCTATGGAAAGTTCATCAAGTGCTGCATTAAAAAAAAGTGTTCAGGGCCGGCCCCGTGGCTTAGCGGTTAAGTGCGTGCTCTCCGCTGCCGGCGGCCCGGGTTCGGATCCCGGGTGCGCACCGAGGCACCACTCCTCCAGCCATGCTGAGGCCGCATCCCACATACAGCAACTAGAAGGATGTACAGCTATGACAGACAACTATGTACTGGGGCTTTGGGGGAAAAATAAATAAATAAAATCTTAAAAAAAAAATAGTTAAAAAAAAAGTGTTCACAATCTAGTCATCTCTGGACAATCTAGTCATCTCTGGTGGAGCTTCTAGAAAAAAATGCCTCAGTTCAGCAGCATTTCGAATGCCTTGTATATCACTCTGTTTTCAGTGGTAATCTTTTATTTCCAAAAATAGAATGCAAAAATGCAAATGGCTTTGTCTGATTTCTGATTTTTGAACAGTGTTCAACTAAAGTGTGACTTAACTTCAGTGAACTTCTAACTTAAAATCAGATGCTTCACTTTCTTAGCTCAAGCGGCATATCTCCTGTCACTCAAATACATCACCATTAATGAGAACTTCCTTCCTAATCAGCTTCCTTTGCATGCACCTAGTTGTGAAGCACAGATTTCAATTTGTTCTGCTAGCCTTTCATTTTTTAAGACAATTTATTTTGGAGAGTCGACTAGGCTGGATTACAAATGGGATATAGGATGTGAGTACGTGAACAGTCTTTGCAGCCCTCCATCAGTGATTTGCCACTAAGCCCTTTCTTCACCCTAAAAACTGTACATCATCTGTGAACATCAAGAAATCACTCTTTGGAGCATACTCTGCAATCTTGAGACCTCTCTTAAGTCATGGTGTTGATTAAGTAGTCGCTGGGGACTTGTGACTGGAATTTTTCCTTTAGAGCAGACTGAAAGATTGTTACCTGAAAGACTGTTGCAGGCTAGTGTCTTCTGCTTTTGGGGACGATGGGAGTATGCCAGATGGTAATTTTGAAACAAATATTTAAGCTTTTGTAACTGGATTTTTTTCACGCTTATTCTTTTTTGCTAACTTACCCACATGAAGCATTGGAGACATATTCCAAAAAGGAAAATCGAGGCCTTTTTTTTCCCCTTAAGTATTAGACGGTGGGGTACCTTGACAATGGCAGTGAAAAGTTGAAAGGTCTGTAACTAGCTGTTATTATTATATGAAAAGGGATTAGAGAGTTTAATGATTTAAAAAAGGCAGGTACAGTGATTCATTTATTTGTTCATTCAGCAAATATTTATTATGTATCTACTTGGCATAGGCATTCTGCCAGGCTCTGGTGTTACAGTGGTAGGTAAGCAGGACATAGTTTTTGTCTTCATGGAGTTGAGTGGTAAACATCTAATTATATACAGTGCTATATTGAGGCTTCCCTGAGAAAACTGCTTTGCTCTATTTTTTGCTTTCTAGAGGCTAGACCATGGTACTGCTAGGTGTGCTGTGTGTGGGGTGTGTGTGTATGTGTATGTGACTTTTCTGCATCTATACACATACACAAACATTAAAGGAGCTTCTCCTGTATTGCCGAGTACAAAGTAAGCCAAGCATCTTCATTTAATCCTTAACGACTTTATGAAGCATACATGATTATCCCCATTTCACAGATGAGGACCCTGAGGCTCTGCATTGGTCAGAGTCCTTAGGTGTCAGCTGCAGGAACCAACTCTCTCTGATTTAAACAAAAGGAATTTGTTAGAATGATATTGTATTGTTCACAGAAATTCCAGGAGGACTCGAGAGCCAGTCTGGGGGCTGCTCAGCCAGGAACAGTGATTAAAATCGTGTCACAAAACTGGTCCGGTGAGGAGGTTGTTGCCATCCACTGCCAAGTACTTGATATTATAGCTTGTTCCTTGGGACACTGTTGGCACTGTTGCCCCAGGCACTCAATCCTCCTGCAGTTGTTGCTACTTCTAGAATCTTCCTTCAGCCCACCCCCTTTCCTTATGACACTAGCTTCTGATTGAAAGTCTGAGCAGGTGTTCCTGATTGGTAGAGCGTATTTTTTTATATGCCCATGCCGTAGCTGCAAGGGTGTCTGGGAAAGAGCATCTGCCTTTCAGCTTCTGTAGTGGGGCGTGTGTTTTGTGTCCCATCAAGACTTATAAGGGGAGAATTTCACAAACAGGTTCAGATGCTGGGCCGCTTAAAAAAACAGCAAGACAGCTGGCCACTGCAGCTCAGAGAGGTTAACCAGTGGTGTCATGTCACCCAGTTAAGTGGCAGAGTGGGGTAGTGCTGCTTCTCCCTAATCTCTTGTTCTCCTGCTCACTCTATGCTCTCATGTCAAACTTACCTCCCACACTGACTTTCTCTCTGAATACACCTTGCATTTTCGTCTCTGTAATTTGGCTCATGCCTTTTCCTCTTCTTGTGCCACTTTTTACCCTGTAAAAAGTGATGAAATGTGAAATTCTATTCTTCTTTCTGGCTCTGTGTTGGAAACCTCCCTTGTGAAGCCTTCCCTGATTTCCCAGGCAAAATTAATGGTTCTTTTTTCAATTTTTCCTCAGTACTGTGTTTTTACCTCTTATATGGCACCATCTTTATATGATGGTGGGAGCCTCAGGTCCTTTTGCTTTACTTGACTGTGAGCCGCTTGAGAACAGCTAACTCTGTGGTATTTGTAATTGTATCCCAAACCCTGTAGAGTGGTACATTGTTGCCTGTGGAGTAAGTCTGTTTGAAGACCTGTACATTTTGTCAGGGTAACCTACTAAAGGAGTCAAGAGAGTCTTGAAGGGAATACACTGAGGTCAGCTTTTCCCTCTCAGTGGTCATGTTCAGTAATCTCTGAATCTTCATGTAGGCCTGCTCACGGTTTTTTGAAATCATTTGAGTGACACCCAAGATTTTGTGGCTGTTATCATTAAGTATCTGCATTCCTTAGTTTTTACTTAATGCCTTTCTGAAAATGGATTTAAAAGTGGAACGTGGAAGTCAAACAATAGACTGAGATGTTATAAAGCGAGATTCCATTTCCAGAAAGCTAGAAAAAAATAAGATCTCTAATTATACTTCACCTCTAAGATATAGTTTTCAGCAGTTTATTGCCAGCATTTGGTACATGTTCTTTAAATTGCATCTTCTATTTCAGTCAAACACTTAGTCAAACAGCTTAATGTTGTTATGAATGTTCCAGGGTTGGAGCTTTTAGGGTGCCTCTTATCAATACTTCTCCTTTTCTGTGCCTGCTCTTTTTTATAAAATAATTAGCACCAGGGGCCGGCCCGGTGGTGTAGCGGTTAAGTTTGTGCGTTCCACTTTGGCGGCCCGGGGTTCGCTGGTTCGGATCCTGGGCACGGACCTACTCACCGTTGATCAACCCATGCTGAGGTGGTGTCCCATATAGAAGAGCCGCAACTCTACAACTATGAAACACAACTGTGTACTGGGTCTTTGGGGAGAAAAAAGAAAAAAAAGAGGAAGATTGGCAGCAGATGTTAGCGCAGGGCCAATCTTCCTCAAAAAAAAAAATTAGCACCAAATTCAATAAAATACTCATTTTCACAAGACATAGATGGCAATCATGCTGAGCCTAAACTCATGGGTAGCAGGCAGCACTGTCTTGCTTGACTTGGTTATTCATCAGCTGGTAAATGAAAGTCTTAATTCTGTGGATGAAATCTTTTAGATATGTTTGTGAGGTGTTCAGTTTATAATGACCAAAAGCATGAATAATTCAAAAATTGAATGAATGAACACTGAGGCCCTTTGGTATTTCAGTAATTTTTGACAATACCCATTTAAATATTTGTAATTTTTCCCTGTCATCCTATAATGTCATAACCAACTGAATGAGGCCTGGAAATCAGTGAAGGGATCCAGTGTCTCCTCAGAGCCATCTTTGTTAAATTCTCCCAACCCCCAGTTTATCCCTCCTTTGACATTCCAGATGTTTATCTGGACCTCTGTTAGGGCATGCATTACTTTTAAAGATTGTTTTAGAGTTAGTTGCTACTGATCTCGCATTTTAGATTGTAAATTCCGTGAGTACAGGGGCCCTGTCCTTCTGATCTTTGTGTCTCTCAGAGCGCTTAGTACTTTGCAAAGAGCGGATGCTCCTTACAGCCTTTCAAATGTTGATTAATAGAATACAAAATGAATTGTCCTTTAGGATTACTTATGGCCTGTCATTTCTAATGGGAAGGTTATGGATTAACGACTGATCTCCCTTCTCTAGTGTCTCCATGGGATATCAGTTGAATTTAGAATTTTCCTCTTTTTGATAACAGTTGCTTCAGTTGTTTTAACTGGATCTTAGAGAAGATTTCTGAAGAGTCACAGGAGCTGCAGATTTGGCCAGGAGTTTCGTGAACTGTTTACATTATAAAAAATATCCATTTGTATAATACTAAAATTGTGTATCACTTTTGGCTAGAAACGTCCCTTTGTTTTTGAGGGAAGATGGCTGACAATGTTGTAACATCTCATGTAAATTTGGCTTTTTTTCAGCTGTGTCAGATTCAGGGAGTTTTGTGCTTTCTCGATCCCGGCGAGAAAAGAAATCAAAGAAAGGGCGCCAGGAAGCTCTAGAAAGACTGAAAAAGTCTAAAGCTGGTGAGAAGTATAAATATGAAGTAAGTAACCATTTTTCTGTTTTTTTCTCCTGTGCTTCATCTAATTCATAGCCTGTAGGTAGTCTTATGTCACCTTAGAGATATGCATATATTTCAAGCTTGTTGTAATAGTAATTTCTTAATGTTGAACAAGAATGGGCATGAGATATATTTATAGATTATGGAGATTACTCAGTCCTCAAAGTTCCTGTAAGGCATTTTACAGATGCTTTTAAAATTCTGAAATGAAAGTAGCTATATATATTTTTTCCCTTATTAAGCACACTGTATCTCTGGAAAGTCCCATGACTTTGTTGGGCAAACTTAGAGATCCTTTTGCTTTTAAGGTATTGAGCTGTCTAGCTGGGCACTGCTTCTCCTTGAAGAGAATTGTTCTTCCTAATTTCATTTGCAAGGGGAGCGGTGGTGGGGACTTGGACCTTACTTCTGCTGTGTCCTGTGTGTAAGATTGAATGTGATGCCCTTTTGGCCATTTCCCTCTCCCCACTGTTTATGGCCTTCAGGTAGAAACACAGAGTGGCCCCCATCCGCACAACATTGTCTAGCTTCACCTTCAGTGTGCTCCCTGAGTGTTAAGTGCCTCAGGATAGAAAATGATTAATTAATATGAGAAAATAATAATAACAACAACAACTAATATGCTTTCTTAGCTAACATTGTTGTAAGTGCTTTTAGTTCATATGTTTATGAATATGAATATGTTCTTTTATTTAATCCTTCCAATAACCGTATGGGTTAGATACTATGATTGACAGCATTTCATAGGTGAGATGTCTGAGGTCACAGTGGCAGAGCCTTGATTTGAACCCAGGCAGTCTGGCTTCAAAATATGCATGTTTAACCATGGCCTATACCATATTGGGCCATTAAGCAAGTAGAAGAGGATTTTTGTCATTTGGCACCATTCATTCAAGTCAAGCGAGTCAGCCAGATCATAAAGGGTTGTTAAAAGGATTACAGCAAAGCAAGAGTAAAGCATTTTTAATGTAGGTACTTCTGTAGAGGAGTTCTGTGGGGCATTTCAGACGTTGACACAATGTGACTGATTTCCCTTTAATCACTGATGTTAATTGCGTGGCTCTAAGAGTTCATGCTGAGCAGTAGCAATGTTTTTAGAGATAGAGTCAAAATGCCTTTTTACTCAAAATGATTTTTAAAAATAGTTTTCTGGTATCTTTTTGATACTATATAAGTGAGTTGCTTAAAGAAGAGATAAAGTATGCCTGATAGACTTCAACCAACAGAAATACCTTGTCAGTCCCCCTGCCAAAGAAAATTGGTCAGTACAGTAATATTAATTGGACTAGTTTGGGTTGTCAGAAACTTAATTTGGTAGGGCAGGTAGTTTCTGTTATCGAATGGTGAAAGACCAGATTAATATTTGCCAGGGATCCCTGTGGCATAGATTAACCAGGAGGTGAAAACTAAGCCTAATCCTCAAATCAGTATGAACCGAGTAGGTGTGGCAGAAATCCAGTCAGCTCTGTCCACAGGGCTCTCAGAGCTCTGTGCCCAAGTGTTTTTCCCTGGGTCTTAGCTCTTCAGGTGGAGTTAGTCGTTTCCTCCACTCCCCACTTAAAAAGGCAGAACCCTCGAGAGAAGAAGGGAATTCTTAACGAGGTATCTATGAGGTCTTGCTAACCAGCCCACCAAATTCTCATATGGGAAGTCGATGGCCTGTCACCACGGCAGCTGAGGTGGTGTGTGTCTGTTCGGTTTGTTGCTTTAACTGAGATGAGCTGGTCTGCTCTCTTCCTGCCAGTATTTCGTGGTGTGCTGGCCCTCTGCTAGTCAGGCAGCTCGTGTGATTGGAGCACTTGCCACTCTCTCTGGACTTGCCCTTCAAATAGCTCAGCGTTTAAGACTCTGCAGTCTCAAGACCTGAGAATGGTAGGGGATCAGTGGTAATGCAAACAGGGATCACTCAAAAACCATTTCTAGTGTACCTGTAGAATTGGAGGGGGATAGATAGAGGCGATTTTCCTTTTGAATTATATTTGGTTGGTTGAACAGTTATTAACATTATCGTCTGTTCCAGGGCAACATCAGCTAGTGGAGAGGCAGGTGGCATGCCTTATAGGTTTGCTAAGTACAGGAGAAACCAGTCTAGAAATTACAAGTGAATAATCCCCAAAGCAGCTAATGAAGAATTGGCTATAATTCAGTTTGTTTTTTATGAAGTAGATGAGTAATTGATGATGTGACAAGTGTATTATGCTAATGGAATCATTTACTATCTTATGTTAACACCCACCTAAAAAGAATACTAAGTTAATTGATGTCTATTTAAGGAAAACCCTGTAGTGGTGTTGAATGTCAGAACTCATGATTTGGTTGTAGCTACTCCTTCAGGCTGCCATTCCACTTTCAATTTGACAATTTTTTCATCAGAATTGTTTAACACTTTCACTCCATTTGAAGCTTTCTCAAACTTGTATGATGGCAGGTTGAGGACTTCACAAGCGTTTATGAAGAAGTTGATGAAGAACAGTATTCGAAGCTGGTTCAGGCACGCCAGGATGATGACTGGATCGTGGATGACGGTATGTGGGAAGAAATTGCCTGCCAGGCACTGTATTAGTTGCTTTTCGTAGATTCTCATGCAGTGGAGTTGCTGCTTTGCACGGGCAAATGTAAGGCACTGTTAAGATCATACCTTTTGTTTGAATTTTCCTCAAATACATTATTTGAGGGTGTGGAAGCAGAACAATAGAAAGTTTATTTGGGGGATTTTGGAGAATCTGGGCACTTACTTCAGGATATAGTATAAATCCTCCAGGAAACGACTGTAGGAATTGGGAGGAACCATGTACCTGTGGTGTATTCTCACGGGATGTGGGGATAAGAAAACTACCTATCTCACAGAATGGCTGTGAGGATTACTTGAAGCTATATGCGTGAAGAGTAACCTGGGTAGGGGAAAGCACCGGACAAAGCCTGGTCCTGATGTTCTTACGCCCCTTGTGGAAAGCTCACTGGTTCCTTGTAGGGTGTGACTTCTTGGGCTTGTGAAGGGTGACCACAGGGAGGGGTGTAGACTGTGCCTGCGACTATGTTTCTACTTCTGTAATTGGACTCAGCTGTATTGCCAGTTTTTCCTTGTAGACTGAGGCACTTTTCTGGGCTTCTGCTGATTCTTTATTCTTTTCCTTTCTATTCTTCTGGTAGAGTAAAACTACTGTAAAGCATCCTATTGTGGCAAACTTTGATCCTGTGGGCCAGATCATTTCCCTAGCTCACCTAGATAGGCATAGTATATATCCTTTGGTTTTGACTCAGCAAATCTGCTGTGTTTCGTCTGACACCTCTTTGAACTGGATTCTACTGCACTTAAAAATGACACAGGCCAGGAAAACATCTGAGTGGGTATAAAAAGTTTTTTTTTGGTCATGGCTGAAATATTATTGACCATTTTTAGAAACTTGATCCCAATATTAAATTTTGTTCCTGCAGATGGTATTGGCTATGTGGAGGATGGCCGAGAGATTTTTGATGATGATCTTGAAGATGATGCTCTTGATTCCCATGAGAAAGGTACCTACATTTTGTTTTCAAGAGAGTGCTGTTTTGAGATAAAAAGAATTGTCTAAAATTTGAGATGACTTGGTACTTTGACATAGTTTTCTTTAAAGGAAAAGGATCTACCACAATTATTTTTAGGTATAGAATATGTTCTGATATTGAGAGAAGCATAGTTATGTAGAAAATTAAATGTCAAAAGCAAAAACAACACCAGGAAATGAAGTTTCACGTCTCTATTATCCAGAGTTTGGTCTTTTACTTATTTTGAATTTTCAGTCCTGTGGTCATTTTATTTTATTTTTTTATTTTTATTTTTTTTGTGTGTGAGGAAGATCAGCCCTGAGCTAACATCCATGCCAATCCTCCTCTTTTTGCTGAGGAAGACCAGCCCTGAGCTAATGTCTATTGCCAATCCTCCTCCTTTTTTTACCCTTTTTCTCCCCAAAGCCCCAGTAGATAGTTGTATGTCATAGTTGCACATCCTTCTAGTTGCTGTATGTAGGACGCCGCCTCAGCATGGCCGGACAAGCGGTGCATTGGTACGCGCCTGGATCTGAACTCGGGCCACCAGTAGCGGAGTGTGCGCACTTAACTGCTAAGCCATGGGCCCGGCCCCTCCTTTTCTTTCTTACACAAAAGATACTTTCTATAGATAATTTTGTACTTTGTGTTTTTTCACTTAACAAGATATCCCGGAAATCACTCCATATCAGTGCATAGAGATCTTTTTTTCTTTCTTATTTCTGTATAGCTGCATAGAATTCGATTGTATGGATGTACCATGCTTTATTCAAATGGTTTCCTTGAATGGACATTTAGATTTTCAATAATTAGCTATTACAAATAATACTGCATTGAATAACTCTGTGCATATGGTGTTTTCCTCAGGGAACATCCCTAGAAGTGGGATTGCTGGCTCAGAGTAAATGCACATGAAGTTTTGTGAGATATTGCTATAGGAGTTGTCCCATTTTACACTCCCATGAGCAGTGTATGAGTGTCTGTTAAGACCCCATGACCTCGCCAACAGAGTATGTTGTCAAGCTTTTGAATTTTTGCCACTCTGATATGTGAGAAATGACATCTCAGTGTGGTTTTCATTTGCATTTCTTTTACACATGAAGTTGGGCATCTTTTTGTAAAATTTAATAGCTGTTTATATATATTTTTATGTGAACTGTTTGTTCGTGTTTATTGCCCACATTCCTTTTGGGTTTGGGGGCCTTTTTAATGTCAGGGAGTTTTTTATCAGGGAAATTAGTCCTTTATCTGCAAAACATAATGCAAAAATTTTCTCCTGTTTTGTCTTTAAACTTGTTTCTGGTGTAACTGAATTTATTAATCTTTTTTTCCTTGCAAATTGATTTTGAATCATAGTTAGACTTTCCCCACACTCAGGTTACAAAGGAATTTGCCTTTTTTATTAAAATACTTATATAGTTTCATTTTTTTTGTTTTGATCTATGATCTATTTGGTGTTTATACTGGTTTACTTTACAAATGAGTAGCCAACACTACTTATTAAAAAGTCCATCTTTTCCCCAGTGATACGAGATGCCACCTTTATTATGTGCTAAATTTCCATAAGTAATTGGGTCTTTTTCTGGACTGTATTTTCTATTTCATCTGGTCTGTGGGTTCATATGCTACTACCACACTATGTTAACTATTCATTTTAAATGTTTTTGAGGTAGAGACTGCTCTACCTCATTCTAAAATAACAGAAAGCAAGAGTAAAAATGACAGTATTAGAAGAGTTTTTAGATGATTTACACATGGCCATAAGAGAAAACATATGGCACAAGTTGTTCTTTAATGAGCAAATGTCTCTGTGCTGTTTAGTGTTGCTATGACATATTGTGTGTGTCTACTTGCTGTTCCTCATAAAATGGAAATTAGGAGGCTACAGTAGCGTAGCTGGTAATCCTGTTTCTTCATAGTTCAGTTTTCCTGTCAGATTGAGTATAGCACTAAAAAGATGATCTCATGAAGGCTGCTAGGCTAATCCCTTGTTCCAGATGAGCTTGATCTTTTCATTTCTGTGGGAAGAACAAATCCCCCCAACCTTTTAAAAAGCTTTTTATTCACACTAGCAATAGCAATTAAATAATCACACTTAATAACTCATCCTGATATTTAATTGGCATCTCATCAGTTTTTGTAATAACATTTAGCCCGGGTTTTCCTGAATTAAGCTTGTTTTAAAGATTCTTCCCTGTGTACCTTGAATAAAATCTCATGTTTTTGTATTTTGATTTCTTAATGTTTTTCCTCTCAAATTCTCATATCCAGAGGGCAGGTGACTAGGCTTTTAGTTTTCTATTTTGATTTTTGCCAGTGCATGTTTCTAAATAATTTATATTCCAGCAGGAAAAGATGATAAAGCACGCAACAAAGACAAGAGGAATGTAAAGAAGGCTGCGGTGACAAAACCAAACAGTATCAAGTCCATGTTCATGGCTAGTGCTGGGAGGAAAACTGCAGAAGTGAGTTTCATGGTTTTCTTATATTTTGCCTTTTCCTTTGTGAAGCAAATTTAGTATTTGATTATACAGATAATAGGTGCTCAGTATATTTGAGCTCAAATATTTGAGTAATATTCTCCCAATTTCAATTACTAAATTGGATGTAGATTTTTAGGTGAATTTAGATACCTCAGTGGTTGGATCTTGGAGATAGAAAAGAAAATTGAACTGAAAAGCTGAACTGACAGTCTGTTTATTTCTGTGATTAGCAGGAGGATCCTGGAATGAGGATGAAAATAGAGGACAGAAGCTCTAGTTTGAGGATTTATGTGGCCACAGGTGGCAGTTAAGATCCGTGAATAGTAGATGAGCACTCAGAGTAGGAAATGAAGAGGAAGGACTGACTGGTTATGTTCTGCCTTTCACGGACATGTGATCTGGTGGAAATGTGAAGTGCAGGGCTTTCTCATTCTACTTTCCTTTATGATTTCCAGAAAGCTGTAGACTTGTCCAAGGATGATCTGCTAGGTGACATTCTACAAGATCTGAACACTGAGGTAAGTGAATCTCTGGGAGTTGTCAAATATGTGGGGAACATAGGCTGAAGAAACAGTTCCATAATTATACACAACAGACTATTGCTAGAATTAAAAAGAAAAAATTTGATGACAACACCACCACCAGAAAACAAAAAAAAACCCTTCAAATTGGTTTCTTCTCACCATTTTAGATGAGTAGTTTCAGGCTATTGGAAGCTGTGCGATTATGTAGATGGGGCTGCGCAGGGGTGTGTTTGAGGTAGTAAGAATGCACACACGACTCAGTTCTGGGAACGTGCACTGCTTGTGCTCAGTTGCTACACTGTATGTTCCTAAAATAGATTAAAGCCTGTCAGTCTGTATAAGCAGGCGTGATTTCTTCATTTTGAATTCCGAGCGGGGGTGAAGGAAGAGTCAGTGAGCTGTCCCTGCTAGAACTCAGACAGACTCAACTGCTCTGGGAATTTGCAATTTAGCTATTTCACATAAAGACTAAACTCTCCTTTAGAGGTGTGCTTCTTTCTAAGTGACCCTTGATTAAAATGACTAACACCAACACTATGTAGCTCTAACTTGACAGTTTTTAAATGTAGTATTCTAGAAGGGTAAGGGGAAAGTATGTTAAGTTTTAAAAAGAAGAAAATTGGTGAGGGGTGGATTCAGTATCTATTCCGGTTTTCTAGTGAGTCTGTGGTATTGTCGCTATAGTAACCACAGTGCATGAACATAGATCTGTGGGTGGAGCAGGGAAGGAAAAAAATGCTTTGCTCATTGGGCTTCAATGGGGGAAGAAATGTACTTTTTCTGTCTTATGGTAAACCAAGCATGGCAGTGAAGGTGTGTCTTCGCCCTCCTTTCAGACACCTCAGATAACTCCACCACCTGTAATGATACTGAAGAAGAAGAGATCCACTGGAGCTTCACTGAATCCTTTCTCTGTGCACACTCCCAAGGTAAAGTGTGTGGAAGCACCTTCAGTCTTGATTTATATTATTGCTTAAAACTTATTTTGTTGCTTTTCTATGTGAGGGAAATGCCTTTGAATTTGTATTAATTTTTGTTTTAAATTAGGACTCCCTTTCATTATATAGTAGTTTCATGTATTTCAAAAATAGCATATGTCTGCTTTTTTCATAGTAAATTTTGTAGTAACTGGTATGTGTTTATTATAGTTATTACAACTGTGCTAAATGCAATAATTTTCCTCCTGGAAACAAGTATTTTTTTGTAAACCTAGGTAACAGTGAAATAATTGAAGCTGTTACATTAATAATACATAAAACCATTTTATAAGTGGGAACCGTCATTATCTCTGGTCCGGGTAGGACAGTTGCATATTTTTAGTGTGCAGGTCTAACTGACTAAACATTTAAAAACGTTTACAGGCAGTTCCTTCAGGAAAAACTGCCTCCCCTGTCTCAAGGAAGGAGCCTCCATTAACTCCTGTTCCTCTTAAACGTGCTGAATTTGCTGGTAAGTCTGATGTCAGGCAGAAGTGTAAGGGTGTTGAGCAGTTGCAAAGTGCTGTAAAAAACTGGAGGCCCCATGAAGGAGGAAGTGGAGGAGATTCTGAAGGTACTGTGATAGCAAGTTTAAGTGTGAAAGATTTGAATTCATAGCAGGAAAAGTTAAACATATCCAATGTGGAGATTGACGAGAAATGCAAATAGGGTGTGGGAAAAAGAGTAGGCTGCTATTGCTGTGTTGGGGAAGCCTTTGTGCCCCATGCAGCAGTACATGATGGGAATGTGTGATAACGCCTACAGGAGAGCCAGTGCTGGCCTCGTGTACAGATGACAAGGAGGAGTCAGGGGCAATGGATTTTGAAGATGGCGACTTTGATGAGCCCATGGATGCTGAGGAGGTGGACGTGGAGTCTGTGGCTGCCAAGACTTGGGACCAAGAGAGGGAGCCAGCAGAGGGGGTGAAACATGAGGCAGATCCTGGGAAAGGGACCACATCCTGCTTGTAAGAGCATTTTATGACTTTTCTGGCAAGTATCGCTATAATTGTTCTGTTGGATTTTGAAAGGTTTTTGAAAATGTGATTTCTGCAGAGGAAGTTTTCTCCCAGATGTCTCTTGTTGGGATATTGATCAGGAAGATGACAGCAGTTTCTCATCCCAGGAAGTGCAAGTGGATTCCAGTCACCTCCCATTGGTAAAGGGGGCAGATGAGGAACAAGTGTTTCAGTTTTATTGGCTGGATGCTTATGAAGATCAGTACAACCAACCAGGTAATCATACATGCAGTAACTGTATGTCTTTAATACGGAATGGTGTCTTTCCCTTAAATGCTTTAGTGATTATAATTGGCATAGCCTCTAGCCTCTGCCCTCACATATGTGCATAGTAAGAGAGCAACACTCGTTCATTGTAAAGTGTGTGAGTTGCCCAGATGGAGAGGACTGCGGTGTGAATAATCCTCAAAGATGCTTATTCCGAAAACCAGTTATATATGGTTTTGGAATGTGTGCTTGTAGTTTACTATCGATGTATCTGAGGTTATTGGAATGCATTTTACTTTAAATGGAATCAGTCATTAATTTGTTCCTTTATTCAGCAAATTGAACACCTGTTGTGTGCCAGGCACTGAGATGGGATGAACAAGCTGGACAAATTCCCTATCCTAATGGAGCTTATATTCTAGTGGGGTGGGAGAAATAGGCAATAAATAAGGTAGTTCATAAGTGATGTAAAGGCAATTAGTTGGGGGATGACCGGGGAAGGCCTCTCTGAGGAGACCACCACTGGGCTGCAATTCGAGGCATGTGCAGAGCTGAGGAAAGAGCGTTGCAGCCTAAGGAGCCAGTAAGCACAGAGGCCTGGAGAGAGAAAAGGGGAGGCCTGCATGGTTGTAGCCCAGTAATCAAGTGACAAGATGGGTTGAAAATGAAGTTGGAGATAAAGGCAAAGGCCAGATAATAAAGGACCTTGAAAGCCATATTAAGGAGTTTAGATTTTATTCTAAGAGCAGTGGGGAGGCGGTGGAGGATTTTCAGTGCTGGGTAGGGGGCTAGGGTAGAGGAGTGGAGTGGTCTCATGGTTGGGTTTACATTTTAACAGGAACCCTCTGGTTTGTGTGGAGAATAGCGTGTGTGTGTGTGTGTGTCTGTCTGTCTGTCTATTGGGGGCTGGAGCGGGGAAGTGTGGAAGCCCCGGAGATCATTCCGGGTGTGTGTGTGTCTCTGTCTGTTGGGGGCTGGAGCGGGGAAGTGTGGAAGCCCCGGAGATCATTCCGGGTGTGTGTGTGTCTCTGTCTGTTGGGGGCTGGAGCGGGGAAGTGTGGAAGCCCTGGAGATCAGTCCAGGGCAGGTGTGCTAGTTACTTGGACTAGTGGTGGCTGTGCAGAGAGATGTGAATGCATTTAACATGTATTTTGACATGAACTTGTTAATGGATTGATGTTGAGGTTGACAGAAAGGAATCAAGGATGATTCCCAGGTCCTCCTCAAAATGAGCTGATACTATGAATTCTGACTCACAGAAAGCCAGGAGGCTCTCCAGTTTCCTTTTGTGCCCCTTGAGCCCTTCTTCACTGTGGGGCTCACCATGACAAGGGGTGTCAGATTAATAAAAAATACAGTATACACCCTTAAACAGAGTTGCCTTTATTCAGATCTGTTTCTGGATGTGAGGCTAGATGCAAACGGTTTATTTTTCAAAGTGGTTTCCTGGAGGCTGCATCTGGTGAAAATAAAGGGAGGATTTAGATGTCAGTAAAGCAAGTGAATGAGGAAGAAGAGTCTAAGTGTTAACTGTCAAACTTGAGGGCCTGATTTACCTTATTTACCTTAAAGATAATCAGGCATTGACTTTAACTGGAAACATGTTAATGGTCTCTCAGAGGGGAGGCAGAAACATTAATATGCTTCAGCTTATCAAATACATTGAAACTTGTGTAGAGCCACTTGAGTAGCAAACTGCCATGTGTTATTTTCTTAGGTAAAGACATAAGCAATCTTAGAAATGGTATCTTATCTGCTTCAGCTAGGGCAAGACGATTTGGTTAGACCCTCTCACCTCTTTGACTAGTACTTTGTTACTTGCTGTTGGAAGATAGCCTGGCAAGTATGATTACATGAGGCTGAGCGAATTATTCCCCATCTATTTTTATTTCTTTTTTTTATTTAAATTTTTTTTTTTGCTGCGGAAGATTCACCCTTAGCTAACATCTGTTGCCAGTCTTCCTCTTTTTGTATATGAGCCGCCGCCACGGAAGATTCACCCTTAGCTAACATCCGTTGCCAGTCTTCCTCTTTTTGTATGTGAGCTGCCACCACAGCATGGCCACTGACAGATAAGTGCTGTAGGTCCGTGCCCAGCAACTGAACCTGGGCCGCCGAAGTGGAGCACGCCCAACTTAACCACTAGGCCACCAGGGCTGGCCCTCCCCATCCATTTTTAAAACCCAGGGCTGCCCCATTGGGGACGCCATTTTCACGCATGCTTCATGTGACCTCCCTGAAGCACAGCAGTGTGACTGGTGCTTGCTCGAGTTGTATGACATGGTGGGCCTGCCCATCCCAATGCTATGCCCTGTGCTTTGCTGTATCTGCTCGACGCTGAATTTGATTCCCTGTCTTGGTTAATGGTCCCGTCAAAACCAGAAACCTGGGGGCCAGCCTTGAGTCCCCCTTTTCCTCACTTCCCTCACCAAGTCTTATTAGTTTTCTCCTCCTAAAGTATAAAGTAGACAAGCTATCTTCTCTTTCTCCTCACAGCTGCCACCCCTAAACCCTTCTTGCCTACTGAAACCAGCTTCCTAATTGGTCTCTCAACTGTCATCCCTCACATTGCAGCCAGAGTGATTGCTTGGAAGGGTAACTCTGACCACGTCACTTCCTCATTAAAGAAAATCCGCAGTGGCTACTGCCTACAACGGAATGTCCAAGTTCCTTAGCAAGGCTTCTGTTGCCTGCTGTGTAGGATTTTGTGCCCTAGAAATAGTTCCCTGTGTGTACCTGCTGCTCCTTATACCATATCCCTTTACTCATTATTTTAGTCTGACCGGACTGCCCTCACCTGGCTCAGCCCAGGTGTCATCTGGAAGTTTCCTAATCCTCCAAACTGGCCTAAGAGCCCTTTCTGTGACCCCATCATACCCTTTCCCATCATAGCATTTGTCGTATTATTTTGAAAAGATATGATTCTGTGTTGTCTTTCCCCCAGAGCCTTTAAACTCCTAGGGGACTGGGACCTTTTATTTCCAGAATGCAGTATGATGCCAGGCACATAGTAGGTGTTCTTTGAAATAAAGTACACAGTGACAGTCCTGTCGATGCACATGAAAGGTTTCAGAGAACCAGAATGGCATTTGCTGCTGTTGCTGAATTTGCCTCTTAAAGCCTTGTAGTAGTGTGAGGTAAGAATGGATAACACAAAGGTGGGTGGTGCCCCCCATAAATCTGCATATAAAGCATCAGATTGCCAGTGTCAAATTGCCAAGGATTAGAACCTTAAACAACAACCCTCTTTCCTGTGTGAAAATGAGTTTATTATTTCCACCTTTTGTTTAGGGGTTGATACTCTTATTAAAAAACAGCATCGTTTTGCAGGGCAGGGGTCTAGAGCTGCACTGTCCATTATGGTAGGTACTGGCCACATGTATCTCTTTCAAGTTAAATTAATTAAAATGAAATAAAATGTAAAATTTAGCTTCTCAGCTACTAGCCACATTTCAGGTGCTCAATAGCCACATGTGGCTAGTAGCTACCATATCCATGGATGGCACAGATACAGAACAGTTCTGTCAACACAGAAATTTCTATCAGCTAGTGCTGGACTATAGTAATAGGTACTAGAGGTTAAGATTGAGGCATTGAAGCACAGCTATATTTGCAAGTCAGCCAATTTATGATATGTATTGTTGTTGAATTCCTGGTACTAACCATAGTCATGGATAGGCCTTTTCACCACTATTGGGAAATATTTTGCAATTGAAAGAGTTACCAGTCTGTTACTGATCTGTCTTCCAAATGGTAAAAAGGAAATTACTAGTGCTGGAGAAGGCCTCAGAGATCATCTAATCTAGTTACTTATAGAGGAGGAAGCTGCGGCTCCGAAAGATAAAGTGATTAGCTCTTCAGTGGCAGAGTTCTGGGCTTCTCACCCTCAGTCCACTCTCCTGTTCCCGTGGTATTTCTCAAGTTGTGTCCTCTGTGATTGATGCCAACGGGTTAAATAAGATGGCTTAAAAAAACCTCCTGTAATCGCAGAGGGTTGAACAGTTTCATCATGATAGCAGGTAATGATCACTGAGCCTTGGTGAAATCAATGCTGCTGATAAAAACGAAGTACTCCCAAAGACCCTGTTATTGTTTCTCACTTTCTTACAGATTCTCAGTCAGTCAGTTGTGGCTGAATGCTCCATAATTATGAAAAGAATCTTAGTCTTTGCATATGGGAAGATATCCTGTCTTCATTATGACTTTTTCAAGGTTGAATAATCCTGACTGCACCTGGTTTCAGCTAGTAACTTTGGGAGGAATTTAATCTTTGTTTACCATGATCTTTTTGTGGCAAATGAGGCATAAACAGTGTCAAATGTGTTGCATGAAGTGTGATATTAGTTTGACTGTAAAATGAGCTATTTGAATCTTTGAATCCAATATTAGGGTCTTTATTTTTCTTTGCATGGAATTTTGTTTTTTCGTCTCTAACTGTTGTGGGGATGACTTTTAATTTTCTGAGCTACTGTGCTTTTTTTCTTTTTTAATCATCCCCACAGTCCTCCCTTCCCTCTCCCTTAGATCCCCCCTCCTTTCCCCCCAGCTGAAAATCACACAACTCTTTTAGAGTTGTTAAGAATTTTAATCATCTGCAGAAATGAAAATTCTTAAATGGTCTTATTTCTACTAGAATGAATGACAAAAGGAAGCACTGATGAGCTATCTTGTGAAACTGGAGTAATTGGCCTTGTGAACCATAGCCTTTGCATGTGCTAGAATTTTCTTAGTGTTTGAGACAAGCGGCCGTGTTGAGTGGCTGTGTTGATTGCTGCTGTAATTATTCATGGAGCCCAGGATTTTGCACAGTGACCATCTCTTAGGTTGACTATCACATCTCTGGAGTCCTTTCTTGATGTTCAGTTTTCATGAACAATGACTTGATGTCTAGGAAGGCTTGTTTTTGCTTTGTAGTATACATTACGTAGGGATCTCAAAAGGAGTGTCTGCTGATTTGGTTACTAGACCATTTGTTATACCAAAATAGAAGAGAAAGGAACATTATAAAGACTCCATAGCCAGATGTCTTAAGTAGTCTGTGTGGTAGAAAGGGTGAAATAGCAGACAATAGTTGAACCCTATTATGAGATCTTTACTATTATGCAGAATTAGATATATGAGATAATTATGTTTTTCCCAAACATCATTTAAGATCTAGAGAAATACTGATGTGCCATAGTTATCCTTATACAGGAATGTTAATTTTTATCAGCAAGCACAAGTGCTAAAAAGAAATTTAGTATTATATTCTCAGACTTCTCATAAGAGGTTTAAATATGAGATTTGTTGGAGAAGAGTTTACTTTTTTGTTTCTCTTAACCTGGGTAATCCTGGTTCTAGGGAAAATGTCTATGTGTGTTTTTTTTTTGCCTACACTGACCTAAGACATCTCCCTAATTTTCAAGGTGTGTCTACATTGACCTGTGATGTCTCCTTAATTCCCCAGGGGTTTCTACACTGACTTGGGGTGTCTCAGGTAGTTCCCCAAGTGTGTCTACTCAGGCCTGGGATGTTGCTCTAATACCGAGGTTTGTCTCCGTTTACCTAGGAAGTCTCCCTAATTCTAGGGAAAATGTTTACACCAATTTAGAGAATCATCCTGTGCCCTGGCCTCCCAGTGGTCACAGGTTTTACCAATATGGTATTGTTGTATGGCCTAAGTATGGAGTAAAGGAGCTGGTCTTGGGGAGTGGGAAGCAGGTGTAAATTTGCTGTAAAAGAAGACTTTTCATGAAGTGCGTGGACACTTGCAGTGAGCCTTTGTATTGCCCCTTTAATGTGATGTAATTGAAATGTTTCCTTTTTCATTTTCCATTATTCTTTTAGGTGTGGTATTTCTGTTTGGCAAAGTTTGGATAGAATTCGCCGAAACCTACGTGAGCTGTTGTGTCATGGTGAAAAACATTGAGCGAACGCTCTACTTCCTTCCCTGTGAAACGGTAAATGTTAGTGATTAGCTTCTGATTCCAAGTACATTCTGTGGTCTGCAGCCAACCCAGTTCTTCAACAGGACTATGAATTATCCACAGCCTTGATGCTTCTTGCTACCTGCCTAGTGACCACTGATTGTCAGCAGCTCCAGTAGAGGTTGTGAAAAGTAGAGAAATGAAGTAAAACTCAGTTTTTCAAGTTGTTAGAAAGAGTGTAAAAGTGTGTGAATTTTGGTATATAATGCTCTTTTCCCCCACCCCTCATTTCCATTATAATCAGGGTTGGGAGTACATGGCTCTAAAATGTGGCATGGCGTTTGGCCCAGTTTTCAAGCTTTTGCTGTATGGGCAACAGTACCATTTCCTCCACAGCCGTTTAACATGGGCAATTCCATTTGCTTCTCCCTTTTTATTGGGACTTAACATTCACACTCCCCTCCCGACCCAAGCCCCTTCCCCTTCTCAGTTGAACTGTGAAGCTTCTTGGTCAGGATTTACAGCACTTCTCCCATTTTGTAGGATAGATCATCTTTATCTCTGATTTGCCTTTTTAATGCCATTGGGAGGGATTGGCATCGGATTTAGTACATTTTTGGGGTCTGTTTATATCTTTGAACTCACCTGTAAGACTGTTCTATTAAATGTTAAAATGGGTGAAGATGAAAATTGATTCAGACTTGGGTTTCTGGTGGTTGAAAAGATCTTATGTACTGATACTTTTTTTTTTCCCTCCCCTCCCCTCTCCATGGGAGAGCAGAAAATTGATCTAAATACAGGGAAAGAAACAGGAACTCCAGTTACAATGAAGGATGTTTATGATGAATTTGATGAGAAAATAGCAACAAAATATAAAATTATGAAGTTCAAGTCCAAGGTTTGTATTTGGTGATAATTTTTTCCAGCTCTATCTTTTAGTTGTTTCTTCATTTCCTGATTTAACAAATAGTTATTGCATATCTTCTTTGTGCAAAATGCCTTCTGTGTGGCTATAGTTCGTTGGAAATTTCGTAGATATTAATATAAAACCAGTATGATAGATTTGTAAAAATGCTTTTTCTTTCTCCTTAAACTGCTTCTAAAATAATGTTGGTTAATTTGAATAGAAAGATAACTCATAACAAAGTAATTACTTCCAGTACTTGCAACATATCTTATGCTTTTATTCTGAAATGGAGAAGAGGCTGTTCTGATCTCGTTTATGTTAGTTATTGCCAAGTTGTCCTGGTCAGAAGGTTAAGTAAGGTTTTATCTTTAAAAATCAGTGACTATGCTGCTACTTCTCATAGAATAAAAATTTTCTATTTGTTTGATACATATTGATCAATTGTCTTGATTTTAGTGAGATATTGACATCTTTGGCCATCATTGTGGGGGCTGCAGCTCATTCAACATACTGGCTATTAACAGTGATTGCAATAAAGGCAGGATTGAGTTGCTGAAGATAGGGCAAACCCTCTTAACTATATGAGCTTTGAATTATGGCTGATGGATCAAGTCTTTAAGATTCTAGAAGCAGTGTCATGTGATGGTGAAGAGCATAGGTGCTGGGGACAGATCACTTGTGCTTTAAGTCCTAGCCTGACCACTTTGTAGTGTGTGATCTTGCACAAGTGCTGAGTGACTTCTCTGGGGCTGTTTCTTCACCCGAGAAATGGGGCCCTATTTCAAGAGTTGTTGGAAGGGTTAAGTCAATTAGTTTGTATTAGGTGATTAGAACAATCCTTGGTACATAGCAAGCGCTCAGTAAATATGAACTATAATTATGCTGATTATTAATTTTTGTAGCAAGATGGAGTTGCTTAATATCAAAGAGTAGCAAATGATTTAATGCATTAACATTGTAAAATTAATCTTTTGTTGCCTCTCTTGAATGCAAATATTTCTGAGTTCTCTAGTGTCCAAGAGAAGTCTTTTTAGCATTTTGTCACTGGGTGTTTTAGTCTTAGTTGAAAGGGGTAATAAGTGCCTTTTTGGGTTTATTTACCTTTGAGTTCCATGAGGATGCTAGATTCCTAACGATTACATGCAGGGACATGCATTGTGTATGCAATACTTGTCAATTTAATTTGTGAGGAGTTTTTGTCTTAATGATTTTTAAATATCTACTTACCCAGATAGTGGAAAAGAACTATGCTTTTGAGATACCTGATGTTCCAGAAAAATCTGAGTACTTGGAAGTTAGATACTCGGTAAGTCAAACAAAATTGCTGGGTTTTGGTTGAGTGACATTTCCCTGTTTTTCAGCTTTCAGCTGGCTTTCAATTAGGAGTATTGGCAGGGCTCCTCAAGCCCAAAGTTCATTGAGGTGGACTTACAGTAATGAATAGTTAAAATGGATAAAATTAATTTAAATACATAGACTACATACATAGACTACAGGTTATACTGCCTTTCTCTGCTTTCAAGTGTGCATCTTTAAATAAATAAGTTGAAACTGCACAACTGTTTGTCAAGTGGTATGAATGCCACATGACTGAGTTGAACATCATTAATCTATTGAAGTGTCCCTTCTGAGCAGTGGAAAGGTGAGAGAGGAGCGTCAATAGTGTCACTGTAGTGCTGTTCTTGCTCCTGTGACAAGCAAGGTCATTGCTGCGGAATGTTAATTAACTGGACCTTAACCTCTTTTTACCTCTGTTCTAGTGTTTTGATCCCATGATGTTGGAAAAGGGAAACTTTTAAGAAATGTTTCTGACAGTGGTGGTGAAAAGTACCATGGAAGCATTTTGAATTGCTTTCATTCTTCTAATGGAGTGGTACTTATTTGACTATTCTGTATCAGTAAGGCATGTACAGCTCTGGACAGAAATCCTCTTTTGGGGGAGCTTCTTGGCCTATTTTTCTTCTAATGGGTGTCGTCAATGATGCATTATTTTGTCACTGAATTGTTTTTGTTTCTTACTGTGAATTGTTTTGGATTTCATTTGTGGCAAATTACATTTCATATATATCAAAGGGGTTTCTTCTGGTGGTTCATAGAGAGGCTTTTGTTTATTTCAAATATAGACTTTGGAAAATGTGAAGTAATAGTTTTAAACAAAGAAGATTTTTTTTCTTCTTTGCCTTTTCAGGCTGAAATGCCACAGCTTCCTCAGGATTTGAAAGGAGAAACTTTTTCTCATGTGTTTGGGACCAACACATCCAGCTTGGAATTGTTCTTGATGAATAGAAAGATCAAAGGACCTTGTTGGCTCGAAGTGAAAAATCCACGTAAGGAAAAATTTACTTTCAGAATGCTAAGTAAATTGCTGATAGATGTGGTTTTTAGAAGTTAAGGAATTGGTCTGTTTATTTCAGTGTGTCCACTTCCTTTCTTATTGTTTGTTTCTTCGAGGTTTTCCTTGAATGAGTATAGGGAATATGTTTGGAATCACTTGATCGCTGTAAAGCCTGGCAGTTTAGTGGAAGGGAGGCCCTAGTTAGCCCTGCAGCTGTTTGGGCGCATCCCTCATTGTGCTGTTGTCGGTGTGGACTTCCCGCCTGACTCATGTGGCCAGCTGTTCTACATGGTGACCTGCTGATCTCTGAAGGAGGGGGAACATCACTGCCCAGTGTGGATAGTGCTTGTTTAATCTCTTCCCTGATGTTTTTTCAGTATTTGCATCTGTGATACTCTGTTTTGTCTTCATGAATCTCTTAAAAATGTTTTGATTCCTCTAAGGCAGTGTTTTGTTTTTTTTAAACCTATTTTGGGTCCTGGATGTTTTGGAAAATCAGATGAAAGCTGTGGACCTTTTTCCTAGGAAAATGAACATATGTATACACACACATGAGGATTTTTTTATTTCATTTTTATTAATTTGATAAATTTGACATGTTACAATTTGTAAATTTAAGGTGTACAGCGTGTTACTTCGATACATTTATATCTTGTGTCATGATTGCCATTGAACCAATATTTATCACATTACATCATTATAGTACAATATTATTGACTGTGTTCATTATACTGTGCATTAGATCTCTATGGCTTAAGGGTACAAACTTCTAACGAGGAGTAAATAAGCCATAGAGATCTAACACATGAGGATTTGCATACAGTCCAATAATGTGGCTTAATTTTTAGTTAGATGTTATAATAAGACATTCTTATTAGAAGATGGGGTTGAAGACCATCTCAGTTAATCACAGATGTCTTAATTATAGTAGTTTTTCTTTTTAAGTAAATAGCTAGTGATCTTTGTATCTGTTCTCTTTCAGAACTCTTAAATCAGCCCATCAGTTGGTGTAAAGTTGAGGCAATGGTCTTGAAACCAGACCTGGTGAACGTAATTAAGGAGGTCAGTTCTCCTCCACTCGTGGTCATGTCTTTCAGCATGAAGACAATGCAGAATACAAAGACACATCAAAATGAGGTAAAGAAATAGGACAGATTTTGTACCTGTGCCTTAGATGTAATGCTTGCCTGAACTTGTAGAGCTTTTCTGCAGGGGAAAGTTATTCATTTTGGAGGGGAAAGAATACTAATTCACTACCAAACTCCATTTTGGAGAATGAATTGAATTTGTCTGCTGTTGTGGTTTTTCTTTGAAGACTTACATTGCTGGATTTATTTTTATTCCTTGTTTTTAAATTTTTTTATTTTGGAGAACTTTAAATGGACATAGAATAATATAATGAACTCCCATATACCAATCACTCATATTCAGCAGCTAACAAGATTTTGTCACACTTTTGTTTATCCCCCTCTTTTTTTTTTCTCCTGAAGTATTTTAAAGCTAATCTCAGACATTATGTCATCTTACCCCTGTATACTTTGGTATGCATCTCTCAAAACATGCACACTTTCTTGCAGAATGCCATTATCACAACTAATAACATTAAAAATGATTCCTTGATATCATCTAAAATACCCAGTCTATAATCACATGACTGTGTTTCTCAAAAATGTCTTAACAATTGGTTTATTTGAATCATCATTCATACAGGATTCACAGAAGGCGTTTAATTTATATGTCTCTTGACTCTTAAATGGGAGCAGCTCCCTCCCACCTCCTCCAGTTTTATCAGTGACATTGACTTATTGAAGAATCACTTGGTTGTCTCATAGAATGTCTCATTTTCTGTATTTGTTTGCTTCGTTGTGTCATTGGACCTCTGTCTCTATACCAAGGGTTGGCAAACTATGGCCTGTGGGCAAATCCAGCCCACTACCTGTTTTTGTAAATAAAGTTTCATTGGAAAACAGCATGTCTATTCATTTCCATATTATCTGCAGCTGCTTTTGTGCTACAGCAGCAGAGTCAGTCATGGCAGAGACCATGTGACCTGAAAGCCTAAAATATTTACTATCTGGTGTGTCAACTCCTCTAGTTAGTGCTAAAGAATTGATTAGATTCAGGTTTGACTTGCTTGGCCAAAATACTTTATAGGTGGTGCAATGTACTTCGTATTGTTTCAGATCAGCAGGCACATAAAGTCTGTTTACAGCACTGTTAGTGGTGCTGTGATTGATTAGTGGGTTCATCCAATGAGGGTTTTTTTAACCTTGACGCTACTGCTATTTTAGGCTGAATAATTCATTGTTATGGGGCCTCTCCTCTGTACTGTGGGATGTTTAGCAGTACCCCTGGCCCTACCCGCTAGATGCCAGTAGCACCCCTCCTCCCTAGTTGTGACAACTAAAAATGCCTCCAGACATTGCCAAATGTCTCCTGGGGTTGGGGGGCAAAATTGTTCCCAGTTGAAAACCACTGATCTAATGGTTTCGTTTGTTCGTGATTTTTGCCTAAGTTAGCTATTTCATTAGGAGTTGTAAAATGGTGGTTTTCTAATTCTGTCACCCTTTCCATGTTTATTAGTTAAACATGTTAAATATTAGAATGTTTATTAGTTAAATTTTTCTATAAAATTAACTTTTGCTCACTAACCAGAACTGTTAGGTTATGCTGCAGTAGTTTATACAGAAAAGACAGGATAAATGTGTACTTCTTTTTCCTTAATTGCCAATTTTCTGAGTAGGAAGTTGGGAACCTGCATTACATGCAGCATTGACCAATGATTTATTTTTTTGTTTCTCTTTTATAGAATATCATTATGAACTCATAGATTTTATATACAGTATATTTCAATCTATTGCATTCATTATTGTTTTGATGCTTAAATTTGTCTCTCTTTGGTCAGTGGGAGCTTCTTTATGTTTGATTCTAAGTCCTTTCGACATTGATGGGGATCTTTTTTAATAGCATTCTGGCAGTATTTTTACTATGATTTTTTTTTTTTAGTATGTGATTTGATCTTTTAATAATAGTTAATATAGTAGATGGCCATAGTTAATACTAGTTAAGTGTTTGGGAAAGGCTTAATTAGTTAAAAATTTTTTTTAAAGTATCCATCCCCTTGCACCGAGTGAGGTTTCTTTTTTTTTTTTTTTTTTTTAGGAAGATCAGCCCTGAGCTAACATCCATGCCAATCCTCCTCTTTTTGCTGAGGAAGACCAGCTCTGAGCTAACATCTATTGCCAATCCTCCTCCTTTTTTTTTCCCCCAAAGCCCCAGTAGATAGTTGTGTGTCATAGCTGCACATCCTTCTAGTTGCTGTATGTGGGACGCGGCCTCAGCATGGCCGGAGAAGTGGTGCGTCAGTGTGCGCCCGGGATCCGAACCCGGGCCGCCAGAAGCAGAGTGCGCGCACTTAACCGCTAAGCCACGGGGCCGGCCCTCGAGTGAGGTTTCTAAATACCATTTCCCAATAAAGGAAATAGGGCTCTCTGGAGAAATGGCTGGTTCAGGGCAAGAAATGTCCAACCAAGATAAGCCTGGAACATCTTGTTATACTGGAAAGCAAGGGCGATATTAAAGTCTGCTGAAGATATGTCAGAAGGACTCAGGAGCCAACTTGAAGAGTTTCCTTCTGGCCAAAGATGGGACAATTTGAGCATGGATAAGAATAACTGCTCCAGATGGAGACACATGACTTCATAATGATACTGTAAGCACTAACAACACTGCTTTGGTCACCTGTGAAGGAAGCTAGGGAACTAATGCATTATTCTGAAAACTAGTAAATAAAGGAATTGAATCAAGCATTTATCTTGATTTTTTTGAACACTTATTGTACCTCAGGTAACCAAATAATTGATGAGGGGAAGTTTCCCTTCATAGGTTTCCAGCTAATAAATGATGAAGGAAAAATTGAATATTACCACTTGGCAATTCCTCATGAAATAATGGATCTAGACAGTGATCACCAGTGGCTGCTAATATCAATACAATACAGATAACCAGACATGATGTGTCTGTGCCTTCTGATAGAAGTAGTCAGTAACACCTCTAAAGTATTCTTGCCCAAAAGTTGAACTTGATTTTGATCAAGCCTTTAGATCTAAATGTGAATTTACAGGCAGTACAGAAACAGAGGAATGCGTTAAATGACATGATTGGAATGCAAGCTGTGGATTCCATACTATGGGACGCTCTACAGGACAAATGACGCACTTTCTTCAAGAAATAAACTGCAGGGAAATAATAGGTGGGGAGGGGTTGTACCTATAGTTTTACATATCAACCAGTTGCAAAGTATGGACCTTATGTGGTAAATAAAATTGAGATTGTTGGGAAAACATGAAAATTTGAATCCTGCCAGGATATGTAATGATTTCAAGGAATTACTATTAATTGTATTAGCTAAGATGATTGTATTACATTTTAAAAACTTATTATCTTTTAAAGTAGTGGTTCTCAACAGGGTGCGATTTTTGCCCTGGAGGGGACATTCGGCCATGGAGACAGTTTTGGTTGTCACAACTTGGGGATGGGGAGTGGGGAGGGTGGTGCTGTTGGCAGCCAGGGATGCTGCTCAACATCCCACAATGCACAAGATAGCCCCCACAGCAAAGAATTATTCGGCCTAAAGTGTCCATAGTGCCGAGGTTGAGAAGCCCTGTTTTAGAGATACATGCTGAAATATTTCTAGATAAGGTGATAGGTCTGGGTTTTGCTTCAAAATAATCTGGGGGGAGGCAGGAAGTGGACAGGCTATTGATATTGATGATAATTGAAGCTGAAGGATGGATATATGAGAATTGATTTTATTCTATTTTTCCTTTGTTTAAATACTTTAATAATAAAAAGTTAAAATATTCATATGGACTAAAATCTGTATCTTTTAATATTCTTGGTGGTTTTGGTGAGAATGCAGAATACATAGTAGGTGTCTGATAAGTGATTTTTTTCCCCTCCTTTCTTTGCAGATTATTGCTATGGCAGCTTTGGTCCATCACAGCTTTGCGTTAGATAAGGCACCCCCACAGCCTCCCTTTCAGTCACACTTCTGTGGTATGTATTTTTTTAGCTGTTTTACTAATGGCTCGATTTTAATTTTTCTTATTTTTTTCTCGAGTTGTTGGATCAGTAACTTTTAAAAAATATTTTCAAGAGTAAGTGCATATTGTTAAAGAAGGTTTTTTTTTTGGTCAGCTGTGGACACTAAGTTTTATTGGATTGGTTGCTCTGATTCAGCTGGTTTATTTTGTTCTAGGAGCAGAAGTGGAGAGGCAGTTGGATATCATTTTTCTGTTCCAATGGTTACTCTATGAGGGTGGAGTAGTTTTTTTCTGCATCAAAATTATGCTATGACTATTTTCTTTTCGTGATGTCATTCTAAAAGCCCATCATAGAAGCCTGTCCAAAGTTTTCTGTGTGATAAGACAAGATGCCAAGGCATAAATGAATGTTGACCTATTTGGGAGGAGTTACAGTAATATCAAAGTGGAGTTGGGTTGCGCTATGCATAAAACTCAATAGGTGAAACTGTCCCACAGAATTCTGCATACCATGAGTCAATCTCCAAGGAGGATTTTGATATATTCCATGTTGAGAGCTTGGCCAGTTAAATAACCATTTTTTTTGTTAAAAAAGGGCATAATACTAGTGATCTATTATGCTTCCTGGGATCTTTTCCAGCCCAAAACCAGAGATTAACTGGGACAGCATCTCCTGTCTGCTTTCTTGGGTATTAGGAAAGTGGAACTAGGGAAACAAGCAGAGAAGGGAATATGGTGTATTGTTATTGTGAAGTTTTACCTTTTAAGTGGGTGGAATACATGGAACAAGATGATGATGAGAATAACCTGGAAAATATGTGGAAGAGAGCATCCACTAGCTCATTCAACATGCATTTGTTTATCTCCTCTGTGTGTGTCACTGTGTGAACAGCTGTTGTGAATGGCAAGGAACTGGTAGTATAGTGGGAGAAGCTTTGGTCATCTTGCCTTTTCTAACTTTGAGAAGGTTGGACTGAGTTCCTGCATTGTATGCTGGTTGAGGCTTTGGTGGGGGATTTCCTTTGGGAAAGACTGTTAAGCATCTTCCATTCTGACTTAGATGGATAGCAAATGTTTCATCAAAGCAGTTTTAACAATTGTAGGGACTTAGGGTTCTGTGCTTGGCTGTTTTTTTTTTTTTTAATTTAATCTTTTGAACTTTTCTTTCATTGAGGTATAATTGACATGTGACATTAATTTCAGGCATGCAACATAATTCAATATTTGTATATATTGCAAAATGATCACCACATTAAGTCTAGTTAACATCTGTCAACAGTTGCAAAATTTTACTTCTTGTGATGAAAACTTTTAAGGTTTACTCTCTTAACAACTTTCAAATATGCAATACAGAATTATTAACTGTAGTCACTATACTATACATTATATCCCCATGACTTATTTATTTTATAAATGGAAGTTTGTGCCTTTTGACCCCCTTCACCCATTTTGCTTATCCCCTCCCACTCCCTGCCTCTGGCAACCACAATCTCTTCTCTGTATCTGTGAGCTCATTTTTTTTTGTTTTTGTTTTTTTAGATTCCATATGTCATATGATATTTGTCTTTCTCTGTCTGACTTATTTCACTTAGCATAAAGCCCTCATGGTCTACAAATGGCAAGATTTCCTTTTTTATGGCTGAGTAATATTCCACTGTATAAAAATATACCACATTTTCTCTATCCATTCATCCATCGATGGACACGTAGGTTGCTTCCATGTCTTGGCTATTGTAAATAATGCAGTGAACATGGAGGTGCAGATATCTTTTTGAGTTAGTGTTTTCCTTTTCTTCAGATAAATACCCAAAAGTAGAATTGCTGGATGATATGGTTGTTGTATTTTTAATTTTTTTTGTTGTTGTTCAAGTATTTTTTTTATTGATGTCTTAATAGTTTATAACATTGTGAAATTTTGGTTGTACATTTTTGTCTGTCTATCACATGTCTCCCTTCACCACTTGTGCCCACCCCCCCACCCCCTTTGCCCCTGGTAACCATGTACAGTTCTTTCTGACCATGTGTTGGTTTATATTCCACATATGAGTGAAATCATGGGGTGTTTGTCTTTCTCTTTCTGGCTTATTTCACTTAACATAATACCCTCCAGGTCCATCCATGTTGTTGCAAATGGGATAGTTTTGTCTTTTTTTATGGCTGAGTAGTATTCCATTGTGTGTGTGTATATATATATATATATATATATACACACACCACATTTTCTTGATCCAGTCGTCAGTCGAGGGACACTTGGGTTGCTTCCATTTCTTGGCTATAGTTAATAATGCTGCAATGAACATAGGGGGTGCATAAGCCTCTTTGGATTGTTGATTTCAGGTTCGTTGGATATATTCCCAGTAGTGGGATAACTGGATCATAGGGTATTTCTATTTTTAATTTTTTGAGAAATCTCCATACCGTTTTCCATAGAGGCTGCACCAGTTTGCATTCCCACCAGCTGTGTACGAGGGTTCCTGTTTCTCCACATCCTCTCCAACATTTGTTGTTTTTCGTCTTCATGATTATAGCCATTCTAATGGGCATGAGGTGGTATCTTAGTGTTGTTTCGATTTGCATTTCCCTGATGATTAGTGATGTTGAACACCTTTTCATATGCCTATTGGCCATCTGTATATCTTCTTTGGAGAAGCGTCTGTTCATTTCCTCTGCCCATTTTTTGATCGGGTTGTTTGTTTTTTTGTTGTTCAGTTGTGTGAGTTCTTTATATATTATGGAGATTAACCCCTTGTCAGATATATGTTTTGCAAATATTTTCTCCCAGCTGGTGGGTTGTCTATTCATTTTGATCCTGCTTTCGTTTGTCTTGTAGAAGCTCTTTAATCTGATGGCGTCCCATTTGTTTATTTTTTCTTTAGTTTCCCTAGTCTGACTAGGCATGGCATCTGAAAAGATTCCTTTATGACCAATATCAAATAGTGTGTTGCCTATATTTTCTTTTATGAGTTTTATAGTTTCAGGTCTCACCTTCAGGTCTTTGACCCATTTTGAGTTAATTTTTGTGAATGGAGATAGCAGATGGTTCACTTTCATTCTTTTGCATGTGGCTGTCCAATTTTCCCAACACCATTTATTTATTTATTTATTTATTTTTTTGTGGGGAAGATCAGCCCTGAGCTAACATCCATGCCAATTCTCCTCTTTTTGCTGAGGAAGACTGGCCCTGGGCTAACATGTGTGCCCATCTTCCTCCACTTTATATGGGACACCGCCACAGCATGGCTTGACAAGCGGTGCATCTGTGCGCCTCCGGGATCTGAACCCAGGCCGCCAACAGCAGAGCACACGCACTTAACCGCTATGCCATGGGGCCGGCCCCCTAACACCATTTATTGAAGAGACTTTGTTTTCTCCATTGTATGTTCTTAGCTCCTTTGTCGAAAATTAGCTGTCCGTATATGTGTGGTTTT